CTCCCGTCACCCTCGGGGCATTTCTCATGTTCCCTCACCCTCAAATCTAAAGCTTATTAAGCTCTCATCAACACACGCACACACACACACGCACGCACACACACACACACACGCACTGATATGATCAGAATAATGAAGAAGGAAAAACTTTTCATTTTATCTATAAAACAATGAAATCTTTATGTTTGCACGACTTCATCCTCAGATTTCTGCCTCTCCCTTGTCCCTCCGCAGCAACTGAGAGCAAACATCAGAGAGATGGAGAAGCTGTGCGGTCGGGTCCGTCCTGAAGATGCCGAGGCTCTGGAAGCTCTGGTCAAGCCGGTCAGAACCAGAGCGTCCATCGCCGCACAAGACTTCCTGCTTATGCACTCTAACCCAGCAGCACAGCTCACCTCTGCAGCAGCAGCAGCCTCACGTCCACACAGCTGTCACACAGCTGGATACGAGGGGGGAAACCTACCGACCAACAGGCAGCTCCAGCTTCAGCTTCCTGAAATCCCCGCTGATCAGAGTGCAGCTGAGTCCTGGGAGAACCTGGAAGAGGTATGCATGGCTGAGAGGGCTCTGGCCTTTGCTCAGGAGGTCATTTCTTGAATTGTATTATTTTTGCTGTCTTTGAGCAAATAATCTAATGAACCACCGCACAGATTTTCATCAGACTTTCAGAAGTCAGTCATTAAATATGCGTCTACCACTGATTCACTGTTGGAATGAACCCAATTTAAGATGGTCGCCACAGCTAGCTCACCTTTGCAAACACAAACACGGCTGTATCAGTGGGATTTTACACAGTTTACTGATTTTTAGCAAATACCGCAGTAACATGCCACACAAGATCAGATTAAAGAGCAAGTCACCCCCAAATCTGCTTTTTTTTCCTGATAAACTATATAAATGTGTGTCTAATCGTGCTGCAGACACGTGTAGTCACTAGTTTTGCACTTTAGTGCATTTTAGTTACAATTTTAATTTTCTGCCTAAAACTGTCAGTGTTGTGCCGTTGTCAGGTAAAAACTCTGCTCTGCATTTGAATTTAAATCTGCCATCGCTATTGGCTAAGAGGTACCCTAGAACGTTAGCTGGTACCATATGATGTCTCTATGTCATTGTGAGCCTGTGTGTGTGTGTGTGTTTGTTAGTGGCTCCGCCCTCTCGGTCTGCTAGGCAACAGCATTTGTTGCATTTTTCAAACAGGAAGTGGGAGTGGAGTAATACTCTGGTAGGGGGCTGCACGTTTCTGCAGCACGATTAGACACGCATTTATATAGTTTATCAGGAAGAAAACAAGTTGATTTGGGGCGACGTGCTCTTTAAGAAGGTGTGATTCTCTAAGTAAAGCTCAAACGTGTGTCGTGTAAAAAGGATAACTTGTTTTTGTAGCAGGAGAACGCTTTTAACACCCGTAAAAAGGTTTTAAAGTCACATTAAACTGTTACAGTAAACCACAGATTCTGACCTAAGTAGATTTACGTCATTAGTTCTATTTTGTATTTATATATATTATTTATTTTCCTGATTTTTCCACATCTAATGAGATAACTGGGCTTGCTGAGTGGATCTAAACTCCGAGACTCCGTTCTGGAGTGTCATCCATCCATCCTCTTTAATGATCTAACATCCGCATCGTGTGTGCTCCGTTACAGCCGTAGGTGTGTGCTCCGTTACAGCCGTAGGTGTGTGCTCCGTTACAGCCGTAGGTGTGTGCTCTGTTACAGCCGTAGGTGTGTGCTCTGTTACAGCCGTAGGTGTGTGCTCTGTTACAGCCGTAGGTGTGTGCTCTGTTACAGCCGTAGGTGTGTGCTCTGTTACAGCCGTAGGTGTGTGCTCTGTTACAGCCGTAGGTGTGTGCTCTGTTACAGCCGTAGGTGTGTGCTCTGTTACAGCCGTAGGTGTGTGCTCTGTTACAGCCGTAGGTGTGTGCTCTGTTACAGCCGTAGGTGTGTGCTCTGTTACAGCCGTAGGTGTGTGCTCTGTTACAGCCGTAGGTGTGTGCTCCGTTACAGCCGTAGGTGTGTGCTCCGTTACAGCCGTAGGTGTGTGCTCTGCTACAGCCGTAGGTGTGTGCTCTGTTACAGCCGTAGGTGTGTGCTCTGCTACAGCCGTAGGTGTGTGCTCTGTTACAGCCGTAGGTGTGTGCTCTGCTACAGCCGTAGGTGTGTGCTCTGTTACAGCCGTAGGTGTGTGCTCTGCTACAGCCGTAGGTGTGTGCTCTGCTACAGCCGTAGGTGTGTGCTCTGTTACAGCCGTAGGTGTGTGCTCTGTTACAGCCGTAGGTGTGTGCTCTGTTACAGCCGTAGGTGTGTGCTCTGTTACAGCCGTAGGTGTGTGCTCCGTTACAGCCGTAGGTGTGTGCTCCGTTACAGCCGTAGGTGTGTGCTCCGTTACAGCCGTAGGTGTGTGCTCCGTTACAGCCGTAGGTGTGTGCTCCGTTACAGCCGTAGGTGTGTGCTCTGTTACAGCCGTAGGTGTGTGCTCTGTTACAGCCGTAGGTGTGTGCTCTGTTACAGCCGTAGGTGTGTGCTCTGTTACAGCCGTAGGTGTGTGCTCCGTTACAGCCGTAGGTGTGTGCTCTGCTACAGCCGTAGGTGTGTGCTCTGTTACAGCCGTAGGTGTGTGCTCTGTTACAGCCGTAGGTGTGTGCTCTGTTACAGCCGTAGGTGTGTGCTCCGTTACAGCCGTAGGTGTGTGCTCTGTTACAGCCGTAGGTGTGTGCTCTGCTACAGCCGTAGGTGTGTGCTCCGTTACAGCCGTAGGTGTGTGCTCCGTTACAGCCGTAGGTGTGTGCTCCGTTACAGCCGTAGGTGTGTGCTCCGTTACAGCCGTAGGTGTGTGCTCCGTTACAGCCGTAGGTGTGTGCTCCGTTACAGCCGTAGGTGTGTGCTCCGTTACAGCCGTAGGTGTGTGCTCCGTTACAGCCGTAGGTGTGTGCTCCGTTACAGCCGTAGGTGTGTGCTCCGTTACAGCCGTAGGTGTGTGCTCCGTTACAGCCGTAGGTGTGTGCTCTGTTACAGCCGTAGGTGTGTGCTCTGTTACAGCCGTAGGTGTGTGCTCTGTTACAGCCGTAGGTGTGTGCTCTGTTACAGTCGTAGGTGTGTGCTCTGTTACAGCCGTAGGTGTGTGCTCTGTTACAGCCGTAGGTGTGTGCTCTGTTACAGCCGTAGGTGTGTAAGTGGCTCTGAAATAAAAACAAGATCTTTTCCCCCTCAGGACCTGAAGGAGCTGAGCGGTTTGGTGACCGAGTTCTCTCTGCTTGTCCATGTGAGTATGAGCACTGCACCTCTACACTCATACCTCCACAGTGCCGTGCACACGCGTGCACCACCAGCCCCTCACCGTGCACACGCGTGCACCACCAGCTCCTCGAACACACTAAACGCGACCGAGGCCGCTCGCCTGTGGCGTTTCCAGGAAGCGGTGTGTATTTGACCGGCGTGTGCTCGTGTTGTTGCCTGGAAAGGCTCCTCTGAGACGAGGTTACACAGATCCGCTCGGGAGTGCTGCTGGGGCCCCAGAGGCCCTCCGCTGGAGGAGGAGAGGGCAGCAGGGGAGAGGAGGGATGCAACAGAGCAGGTGGAGAACAGACGGTTCAGATTATCTCTATCCTCAGGGATGGAGGGAGAGGAGCAGGGAGGGCTGAGGCACAAAGGGCGTAGACGCGTTGTGGTGTCTCGTGGGTACAAGGCCCCGTTAGGGGAGCGGTATTCCAGCGCTCAGCCGCAGAACTGTGTGGTCGTGTTTGTGTGTGTGCACAAGTATCACGTCAGGGGCTGTTTGTGAGCGTGAGCTCTCTCCTAACACTAAAGCTAACACTTTCATTACTAAACCTGTTAAACATTTGATTATTATAAAATCAGCTGTCTAATGTTCAAACGCAGCCACGGCCAAGTACCGTCCACGAGTTTTACTTCATAACAAGATGTGCTAGAGAAACCGTCAGAATTAAAGCTACAGATGAAATCGCCCCACTCTGAAGGTGCTTTACTCACACCGAGTCAACGAAAAGACCGCTGCTTCCTTGTGTCATCATTCAGCAAAATAAAAGTAGCTCTGTGAGCTCATTTATGACTTTCCTGAGTTTGGTGGTTTTACAATCTGCAGCTTAAACGGTTAAGACACATGCAACAACATGGAAAATCAAAACGTCAACAGCTAAAAGTAAATCAGAAGGAGGTGGAAAGCTGCTGTCTTCTGCAGGGACGGGGCTAAGATCGGAATAAAACCGCCGGTTTTTACGTGATTCTTCAGACGACTTTCAGCTCGGAGAAGGAAGGAGCTCCGCTTGTTGTTTGGCCACCGTGTCCATCCAATCCTCACATGGAGAGAGACAGCTGCCACCCTGAATATTTCATTAGACACACACACACACACACACACACACACACACGCACACGCACACACACACACCACACACACACACACACACACATACACACACACACACACACACACACGCACACGCACACGCACACGCACACACGCACACACACACACACACACACACACACACACACACACACACACACACACACACACACACACACACACACACACACACACACCTCCCCAGCGTAGGCTCATGCCCCCGAGCGGATTTTGGAGTTAAAAAATAAATCTTTGTACCCTGCAGGTTGTTGCTCTTTCACACATACGTGCATGCATGTCAGTGCTCAATCGTGTGTGTGTGCGTGTGCGTGTGCGTGTGTGTGTGTGTGTCCATGCTTCAGTCCCAGCAGGAGAAGATTGACAGCATAGAGGACAACGTCAACACAGCCACGGCCAATGTGGAGGAGGGGACCAAGAGCCTGGGGAAGGTGTGTGTTCATGTCCTGATGACTCGTGTGTGTGTGTGTGTGTGTGTGTGTGTGTGTGTGTGTTGTTTGGGAGACGGGGAGATCGATGGCACTTTGCCTCCCAGCCATTCCACACCGTTTGTCCCTATTGATCCACTCAAATACGAAGGGAAGCTGCAATTAAGGAAATGGAGAGAAGAGAGGGAATGATGGGATGTGGAGGGGAGGAAGAGCGATGAAGAGTTGGGATAAGAGGGATCTGCGTGTGTGTGTGTGTGTGTGTGTGTGTGTGTGTGTCACTTACAGTCCAGCTCTGATGACGAGTCACTGCCCTTCACTTTTCTAACACACTTGTTGTCGACCGTTTTGTCCGTAATCTGCTGAACGAATCACTTCTGTTCTGTTTTCGAACTCCAACACACCCCAGTGGGAGGACTTTAACCGAGGAAGGTGGTTGTTTATAAACGCTTCTCTCGGTTCTTCCCTTGTCTGAGCTTTTTTATGCTCAGCAGGTATGTTTATTTGGTGTGAGAAGATAATTAGAATATTTATTAGGGTTTATTCAGACTCTGGAAGTAAACGCACAGACGAGTCAGGATTATGGACTAGCCTTTAGCACATCAGTCAGAACTAATCTCTATTTCTCCAAACTGAGGTCATTACAAGATATCATTTGATGAATCTGACAGTCGTGTGAGAGGACACAACTGATTTCTAACTGCAGCACTTCTCTAATGAAGGTCCTTCATATGTTTACTCTCAGAGCTGTTTAGAGACTAAATCACTCAAAACTTCACCTGTCAATGCAAACCAGTAAGTATTGATATTATTTATAACTTAAAGAGCAAGTCACCCCCTACCAGATTCTTACTCTGCTCCTACTTCCTGTTTGAAAAATGCAACAAATGCTGTTGCCTAGCAGACCGAGAGGGCGGAGCCGCTAACAAATACACACACACACAGGCTCACAACGACATTGTGACATCATATGGTACCAGCTAACGTTCTAGGGTACCTCTTAGCCAATAGCGACGGCAGATTTAAATTCAAATGCAGTGCAGAGTTTTTACCTGACAACGGCACAACACTGACAGTTTTAGGCAGAAAATTAAAATTTTAACTAAAATGCACGAAAGTGCAAAACTATTGACGACACGTGTCTGCAGCACGATTAGACACGCAGTTATGTAGTTTATCAGAAATAAATGTGATTTGAGCAGGGGCGGATTTAGGACTGAAGAAGACCCGGCTTAACACACGCGCGCGCACGCACACACACGTGACACGCACTAGTCAGCATTATATATACATGTCTTGTACCACATAATGTTTAATCTGAAGCTACATATTCAGCATATTCAGGGCAGAGTATTGTTCCTGTTAGTGTTTAGTGTGAGATGATAGTAAATATTCCCGCTCTTTCTCCAACAACTTTACCTGATAAGCTAACTTTAGGCAAACCAGCAGCACAACAAATATTTTCTAATAAGACTCACAAACCTGAGTCAACACCAGTCTCATCAAAGCTGGGGTTCTGTCGCCGTACTTTTGGTCTAAAAAACGTTCTTATGTCCATCTTCACACATGAGTTTCAGGCAGAGAGTGTAGAAGAAGCCGGCTGCTGAAGGGCTTCTTCTTCAGTGGTGGAGGCTCAGGCAGGCTGTATACAAACTACTGCCAGCTGCTCCCTCTCTGTTGGACTTTGGTACTGCATGTTACTTCCACGATTTAGATCCGGGGCTTCAGCCCAAGTAGCCGGGCCTAACGCCGCCCCTGGATTTGAGGGTGACTTGCTCTTTAATGGTCCTTAAACGTCATTCTGTCCTGATATTTAGGATAAATGCAACTAAAGTGTGTCTCACTTCAACCCAGAAACACTATTTATGTAGGCATAGTGGTGCTTTTAAGGTTATCCTTCGTTTTTTAAATTAAATAGTTTCTTTTAAATGGTTTGTTTAAATGAAATGTTCCCAAATGGAGAAGTGAACAAAGAGTACCCTCTCTGTAAGGTCGCTGCTAGATGAAGGCTGGGAAGAGATGAAGCAGATGAGAAGGGTTTCAGATGTTTTAACGTGTTTGAATGCTTGTAATCTGTAATCAGGTCAAACAGTGTTACACACACACCTCCACACACACACACCTCCCTCCATCCTTCAACACCTCTATAGCCAGAGTCCTTTTAACTCGGTTCAGATGAAATTAAAATTCCCTCAACTGCCACAGGGGTGTGGACGAGCAACGCTAGCTTTTGAACTAGATTAATTTAATGGTGAAGTGTTAATCAAGTGAGTGTCCGCACACGTGTGTGTGTGTGTATGTGTGTGTGTGTGTGTGGGGTCTGAGCATCAATCATTAATTGCCATCAGCAAAAAGCACCTTCCACTCTGATGATAGCAGCTGTAATAACACACAGTCCACATAGCTCTGATTTCTCCTAAATGAAGGTAATATAATACTTTGATGCGGCCGCGGAAAAATCCGCTTGTTTACACGTTCACACATTCACACGTTCACATTTGTGTCACTTTTTTCCCTTCCAACTTCAGAGGGTTGATGTGTAATCATGAAAGGACAAACTCCATCACAGACGGTCTTTTAGCTACAAAGTTCTAAAGGTGTGTGTGTGTGTGAGAGAGAGAGAGAGAGAGAAAGATTAAACTGCATCACGTCTCTTCTTCCTGTCTCTTGAGGCGGTGGGATACAAGATGGCGGTGCTGCCGGTTGCAGGCGCGCTGCTCGGCGGCGTGTTAGGAGGTCCTCTCGGCCTGTTGGCTGGATTCAAAGCTGCAGGAGTGGCGGCCGCTGTGGGAGGGGGAGTCCTGGGCTTTGCTGGGGGTAACCTGGTCCAGAAGCACCGCCAAGCTCGTGTGGATCAGCAGATGAAACAGCTGACGCCGGTGGACGAATCAGAGCAAAGCAAGGACAAATGACCCGACACTGACCTTTACACCTCCATGAGAGGTGAAGAGACTCCTTGTCTGAGCACCTCTGCTACCAAGCACTTTGTAGAGCCATTATGAAACAGCCTTAAGGAGGAGTTGGAGGAGTTTCGGTGAGCGGTGAAAGTGTTTTTTAGCCACAGTAACACTACAGCTTCCGGTTACGTGTTGAACCTGAAGATAATCAGTAATAATAATGATGTAAATATCTATTCAGAAGCACAAAACTGCATCTGTGTACCAAGTTTCTGCCGCTCTTCAGGTTTCCCAGGGCTCACACACTTCCTCTGAGCTAACTTACAATAAATGTTTTTAAAGATATTCTATTTATGCAACACAACTACATTTTAAAGCACCGGCGACCCGTCCGAGTCAAACGGGAGCGTGTGGATTTGATCCTTCTGCTGCCAAATGAACATTTCTTCCTGTAGTCCGGCACTGGATCAGCACTAAGCCACAGCGACAGCGATCAGAATTAACACACACACAGCATCAGTGTCTGGAAAATGTTTTTTATTCTCTCCTTCACCTCTGAGATGACTGACCCCTCCCCTCCTCGTGTGTGTGGGTTGATATGGAAGTGAGCAGGTGTCTGTGGACCTCTGCAGAGAGACGGGACACGACACAGAGAGTCCCCGTAACTCGTCTAAACTCCGTTTCTGTGATGCTCAGAAAGAAAAAAACTCCAAAACCTCAAAAATAAGAAGACAAAAACAGCTTCAGGCAGACCTGACTTCCACCACACGGGTTCCCCCCCCCGCCCCATCTACGGTTTTGTTTCTCCCCCATCGTGATGACACACAGAAAAAAAACAGTCACATCAATTCAAGATTACGTTCAAGTGGAAATCTTTTGTCTTCTTCAGGAAGCACAGTGTGGAGGTCTCCGTCGTCTTTGAGATGCTCGGATTAACAAAACTATTATTTTAGCTTGAAATCTTGAGCTCGATCGGGTCAGAATGAGTCATTCTGGTGAATTTGGGGGGGGGGGGGGGGGATCTCAGGTGACATTTAGCAAGAGGCACCCTGGATCGGCCTGTTAGGCCCGTCCACGTGACCACCAAGGCTCAGAGAGAGGACGGTAACCTCTCACACATGCTGTTTGTTACTGAACGATGGGGAGGAACAACCCGATCACATCCACTGTGGCACTTTTATTTAAAAAAAAAAAAGATATACAAAAAAAAAATCCTGGATTATTTTTATTAAGCACTGAAGGAGACGCTAATCCAAAGCTGAAGCTAAACTACCAAGGAGGGAAGATCTCAGGCCGCAGGAGATCCGGCTGCTCTCGCGTTTCTGGTGAGGTTACAGGGATGCTGTTACGACTATAAACACGAATCGGGCGGCTGCTGGTCGGCGAGCGAGACTAAACTAGCGTCCGACAGCTGGAGCGAGGACAGATGTGTTTGTTCGTCGGACAAAATCCAGAGCGAGAAATAAAAATGGGATAAAATAAAGAAAACTCTTCATTTAATTTAGACCAACATTGTAATTCCAATGTAGCACAAACATATTTACAACGTTCAAGAAAATAAAAGTAAACTTCTCTTGATGTCATGATGCCTCCGACCCGTCTCCGCTCAAATCCCCCTCTTCCTCCCAAATCAAAATAAAAGCCGTGTGTGAAAGAGTTATGAAAAAATAGGTTATCCCAGCGTGGACCGCACTCTCCTCTGCTTCAGGTTCTCCTCCTCCTCCTGGTCTCCTCCAGTAAGGGTGTTGGGTGTTACTGTTCTGTCCCGCTGGCCCGTCCAACCCAAATCCCCTCCCTGACCCCGGGGCGTGGCACTGAGTCACAGGATCGCTGCGCGGCCCCTTTGGGTCACAGCTCGTCGCGGTCCCTTCTGAGGATGGTGTAGCGAGTCTCGCTCGGCGCCAGCTTCTGGAACGAGCTCTCTGGAGGGCTGCTGGCCACCTCGCCTCCCGTCTCCTCCTGGGGGAGGAAAGCCGAGTTCAACACAAACCGGGAAACGTCACGCGTGCGTGAGCCGAGGCCGCGGACTGACCTGTCCAAGTGTGCTGTCTGTGGGGTCGGGACCATGGTGGAACTCTCTATGGAGCTTCCCGGAGTGCAGGTCCAAAACGAACTGTCTTAGCTTACCGCTAATGCTGGGAAAACAAACAAACAAACAAACAAACACGTGTAAATAGTAAAGCTGCAATGAGCACAGTGTTAAAACCTAGCTGCACAGGTTCACCACAGATAGGTGTGACTTCACAAGACTACTAATGGTGCCAACGCTGTGGGAGAAGCGACATTCCTAAACACCGTGTCCGATAGTGAGCTGCTCCGACCACAAAGCAGGTCAGAGTTCACCAACATCAGGAGACCCGACTACACGTGGCACATGACTCCCCTCGGATGTATTACCAAGCATGGATCAAAACACACACACACACACAGTCGCTCTCACCGACGACGAGTCGCGCGTCTGCATCGCTGTCGAACGGGCGGACCCGGCTCAGAGTCGGAGCCGAGTGTGTCGAGCACAAACACACGTGTGTGTGTGTGTGTGTGTGTGTACATTTACAACATTCCCTGTGCTAATGTGATTACCAGCTATGTGCCACATGCAGCGGTGATGTGATGTAATTAGGTTGTGGAGGACCAGTCAGTCCTCCGGGCTTCTGTCCATCTGATCAGACCCTGATTGTTCAGGGGTGGGGGGGCAGAATAAATGAGATTAAATTAGATTAGACCAGATTAGTTTAGCACTTATTGCACGTGCCAAATCATGTCACATTAGCCCCAGCGTCCCGGCTCATTCATAAAGGAAAGATTTTAGGAGGTGTGACACTTCGCTTGTGTGTGTGTGTGTGTGTGTGTGTGTGTGTGTGTGTGTGTGTGTGTGTGTGTGTGTGTGTGTGTGTGTGTGTGTGTGTGTGTGTGTGTGTGTGTGTGTGTGTGTGTGTGTGTGTGTGTGTGTGTGTGTGTGTGTGTGTGTGTGTGTGTGTGTGTGTGTGTGTGTGTGTGTGTGTGTGTGTGTGTGTGTGTGTGTGTGTGTGTGTGTGTGTGTGTGTGTGTGTGTGAGAGAGACAAGACTGACTTTAATGACCAGCTGATCTCATTATGAACAATTACTCGTGCGGGTGAGTGATATATTGCGTTTCTCATCATCATTAAGCAATAATTCCTCAGGAATATCCGACAGAAAGCTGATGGCGTTTATTAGAATCATGATTCTTAAAGGTGAGAACAGTTGCTGCTACACTTCTGAGGTTCTCACCTGAGGTCGTTGAAATCCGGGAAGACGTACATGTGCCTGAAAGAGTCTATGGCGATGACGGGACAGTCCGCTGGAGTTTTCTGAATGTGGAGCAGAGGATGGCGGAACTTATCGCAGTCCGCGTGGAGGAAGTTGATAGAGCCTGAGGAAGACACCGACGTCAGAGACGGCCGATCCGCTCCGCTCGGCTCGCAGGCCGTGCGAAGTGGGCTGCATGAATGTTCCTAACAAGCGTTCACCTTTTTCACTGATGAGCTGGCGGGTAACTTCCTGTTGGAACTTCTCCAAGCTGCCCGTATCTTCTTTGAGGTGGAACAAGATGAGGAAGGGGAGTCCTTCTTCTGTCAGTTCCTGACGATCACACCGGAAACATCAAAGACTGATGGGGTGGGAGCCATGGCTGCCCTCCAGGCTATCTTGGTGTTAGTATACAAAGTTTTAAACCACCTCTAATGGGCCATTCCCATCTGTACCGGGTCGGCCCGGGCCGGGTAGCGTAGGTTGTTTACATATCTGGGTGGCCTGGTATTTTTCCGGGCCAACCAAGGCTCATTCTCAGCCCTCTTCTGGAGGGGGTCTGCTTCAGGCCGACCAGGGCCAACACACCCACTGCTGACAGCAAATCCACACCTTCCATTAGAGCAAGCCTCTGATTGGTGGGTAGAATCAGCCCACATGGGCTTAAGACAAGGATGTGTGGAATCAACCGGGCCAGGCTGGGGCAGACTGGGGCTACCCGGCCCGGGCCGACCCGGTACAGATGGGAATGGCCCATAATTTCATCATAATTTGCTTGCAAGGAGCCAAATGTTCTTTCAATGCTCTTACGAAGGTTTTTCAGAGACTTTCTTTGTGCTCGGGCAGCTTTTCCACACCCGTTTTGTTCTGCCGTGTCTAACCACGACAGCACGTAGGAGAACATAAGAGGTGTCGAGCCTAAAAGCAGCCATCTGCAGCAGATGAACCGTACCGGACAAACAGAACCTGAGAGATGCCGTTTCAGTAACCCTCAAACATCTGAATGATGAGTGCACCACAATCAGCTGGCCTAATAAACAAAGGATCAGGTGATGGATTCAAATTTGGAGAAAGCCAAAATACCCAAAGTATAAAAACTTTTGACCTTCAAGACGATTACTAACTGCTCTGCTGCTCGGAGGCAGAAGTAGAACGTGATGCACGCATTTAATATTCAGTCTAACAGCAAGAAGACACTAAATATCGTCCAGCTGTGTCGAATAAGGTAACAAACCTCTCCATTTTCAAAGGTGATCTCCCTGACTAGAGGCACACACTTGTCCTGCGCCCACGTGTACGTCAGGTCAAAGTTGGTGAGCGAGCCGAGGTAGACCATGTCAGACATGCCATCGCCCACGGGTTTGTAGATTACATTGTCTCCGCTGAAGCGCTCGGGCGCTGATACAGCACTGGAACGGTAAAGGTCGGGTTACGAATGCAAACGGAGCTGGAACAATGACTAGGTCTACGTCGGGCGCCGAGTCTCACCCGAAAGCAGCTAGGAAGGTGCAGTCGTCTCGGAGGATGTTGGCAACTTTATGATACGTGCGATAGTTATCAGACTCCTTTGTCTCAAAGTACCCGATGATGTTTCTCTTGCTCCGCTGTTAAAAAAGGCAAAGCGTTAAATAATCTGACCCATTGTTGTTGACGTGTCTGCTTCTGGACAGCGAGTGCGTTTGCCACTTACATCCAAAGTGTTAACTTCCTCCATAGAGTGCAACTCTTTTACTGGGTCCACTTGCTGCTGGCGGATAAAGTCAGCGATGGCGGTGACTGACCTCTGACCCCTGTACTCCCTCTTCATCATCATTCCATTGCGGAACAACTTGAGTGTTGGATACTTGGTGATGCGGTAGCGCTGAGCGATGTCAGCTGCACACAGAGGCAGAGGAGGACTTAAGCAAAGACGGGCAAAATCAATTGATGAAGAGCGAGGTGGCGAGTGAAAACACACGGGGATGGGAAGCGCTTAAAGCCCAGCCTGAAAACACCGTCCTCAGTCAGCTCTGATCTCCCACATGAAAGCCCCCCACCCCCCACCAAGAGTAAATATTCTCAATGCACACTGCGTGTGTGTGTGTGTGTGTGTGAGTAAGGCAGGTGTCAGTCTCCCTGCAGGGAGTCTCTAAGCCTCCAGCCTTCACAGGAAGCAGCAGTTTTGTCATTAGTCTTCAAACAGTTTGCAGGTCATCAATAATTCTCTTTAATTTGCTTTATCTCAAAAGGCTGAGGCTGGCTGGTTTACGTGTGTGTGTGTGTGTGTGTGCGTGCGTGTGTGGCATCTTTGTGTGTACTTGTGCATCAAATACCAGAAGGGTTCGTGTGCACTTTAGTGTCTGTGTAGAAATTGAAGCTATTTAAGACATAAAATGTGATTTTAATCGGGGCGACGGTGGCACAGGAGTTAAGAGCTCGCCCCGTAATCGGAAGGTTGCAGGTTCGAGCCCCGCTCAGTCTGTCGCTGTCGTTGTGTCCTTGGGCAAGACACTTAACCCACGTTGCCTGCTGGTGGTGGTCGGAGGGACCGGTGGCGCCAGTGCTCGGCAGCCTCGCCTCTGTCAGTGCGCCCCAGGGCAGCTGTGGCTACATCGTAGCTCATCCCCACCAGTGTGTGAATGGGTGAATGACTGATTGTGTTGTAAAGCGCCTTGGGGGGTTCCAGGACTCTAGAAGGCGCTTTATCAAATACAGACCGTTTACCATTTAATGGTTGTAACAATCATAATCCATCTGCCACTAAACTACTTGAGTTTTAGCACAAAATCTAAACTAAAAATGTGGTTTCTAGAATTAAACGAGTTTTTGGTTTAGTTGTTTTTAAGGACTCATGAAATAACCAGTGGAGGAAAAAAGGACCAAAAATGTTATTTTCATGAATAACGTTGATGTGATATCAAGTATTTAAAGCCCTTTGAGGGGGTTCACTTTGACTGTACGTACAGAAGTGAGTGAGAGGGTGAACATGAAGGTATTGCTGTCACCAGCAGGCTTTAGTTTATCTGACTGATCACCACGTCCCTTTCCAAGATGTTCGGAGTTAAAGCCGTTTTCTACCCTTACACTAGCGTAGCAACTAAAACAAAGGCCCTGGTACAAATGTAATCATGAAGAAACATTTCTCCTGTTTTCTGGAATTATCGTCCTAAAAAATCATTAATTTAACCCTAAAAACAAACAAAGACTTCTAAACATTCTGAGTTTGATTCAGTAAAGATGCGGAGAAGATCAAACCTGCCAAATAACAGATAAATCACACGTTGGGAGCTTTTTCAGCACGGGGAACATGAAGAACTTCTACGTGCATCATGGCAGATATGAACATTCAACAAGAAAGATTATAAGCTGGGCTAATAAAACGAAAGTTGGATTAAAATCCTCACCGTGCTGGTCACAGTCGACGCGAGCAAACACCACCTGTCTGGAGTCGGGGAACTCCTCCCTCACCACGTTTGATGCCTCCTCAAAAATCGGATGGAGCATCTGACTGAATCTACACCTGCAAAAGGTTTCATGAAGTTATCTCAGAGAGCCGTCCAGATTTTAAGCACAAACGACAACCAGCAGATGAACCAGGCTGAAGGATCATTTTATTAAGAAACACTTAAAGTCACACAGATGAGCGCTGCACACACACCCCATAACAGAGACGGACAGATTCTGAGCAGTTACACAAACCCGAAAAAGAAGATTAAAATGACACAGAAGTCAAATGGCAGGACACTCACCAGTCAGCATAGAAATTCACTAATGCCACTCCAGCATTATCTGCAAGAAAACATAAAACCAGGAAATTTCAATACCAAAGTCCCCATTTAACAAGTAAAGCTGATGATTAAACAAACCAGTCAAATAAGCACCTCAGAGAGCTGTTCATTCAAAATTATTCATCTATTTGCTTTAAAGCCGCAGTAAAAAAAAAAGAGTAATAAATGTTTTGCATCAAGTATAATGGTGTAAGTCTAGAAGAGCATCTCACTTAGGATATCATCAATGTTGCCGGAGTCCAGACTGACGATTTCTGCTTGTCCTGGAGTGGAGAGACCCATCACCTTCAGACGGAGGAGAAAGATCAGCAGAAAACAGCGTTATCACTGCAGAGTGTCGTTCAAGACTCCTAAATGAAACCACGCAACGTATAAAACACTAAAAGACTGTAGCACACAATACTTTCATCTAAAATATAAAGCGTGTACACACACTGAAGGCTTGATGAGAGAAACAGAGCAACATTTCTAATCCAACTATTTCAAGTTTACATTATGCAAACATGTAATCTTACTTTTCTGTTTTTGCTTCTATGTTTTAGTCAACATGTGTTATAAACGTGCCAACAATCCCAGAAATGTATGAATGTATTCATTCGCTAAACGTTCTAAATCCACGAAGGAAGTGCTTTAAACAGGGCTTCTGGGATTCCTAGAGTCGTTTTTAAAAGGTGTAGAAACACCGAATAGCTTAGAAATATTAGCTTTTGTAAGCTAAGGCTGGGCATCTGTAATCCAGACCTGCAGGTTTCGAGGCATGCGGGTATTTCAAAGTTGATTCGAGTCAGCAACAGCTGAAAAAAGGTAGAGACCATGTATGGGCTCACTTTTGACTTTGCAGATCCTCAAGTCAAAGTGTGCAGTCATGAGGAAATCACAAATAATGGTAGGCTACTATCTAGTTTCCATCCAACTGTTTTGACTATTTGTTTATAAGAAAATCCACATCAGCACTATTTATTTATTACACACTAAAGATAAATCCAATAAAATCCAAAGTTAAACTTGGATCTGCACTAGGCTCATCTAAAACCGGGTTAGGATTTTCACACAGCCTGCATGACCACACCTACGCTTGTGTTTGAGTTAATCTGTTAACTCAGCAACAACAAAGAAGGATCCCATTACAGTTGTTTAACCAAAAATCTAATTTCACTGACACATTCAGCTGTTAAGTGATGAACCTCATCCTACAGACACCCTCGGTTGGTTCAGTTCTTTAATTTGGACCACTGAAACATTAATTTTGTTCAAATTTTGATGTAAAAACTAGACATGACTTGTGTTGAGCTCTAATTGAAGTCCTGCATAAACTCATCCTGCATCAAGGAGACTGGCATGTACAAAAGAACATCCCTGCCCATCAGAAACAGTTTCAAACTAAAGGAAAACTGTAGTCTTAATCAAAACAACAAATAAAACAGTATTACTGAATGCTGCTCTTTTACAGCTTATTTCATAAACTGTCATTATACATTTAGAGTAACCTAATAACAACTTTGGGGTTTAACTTTTACAACATTACAAAGTTTAAAAGATTGTGTTTGCACTATCTACTCGTCTGGTGTTATCTGTCATGACTCAATATCCTCTTTAAACAGGATATTTAAAAAAACACAACTTTTTAAACAGTGACACAGTCAGAACACACACACAGACTCAGTCTATGTCCCGGTCACCCCGCTTCTCCTCCAGCTTCACTGGCTGCCAGTCAACTCCAGGGTTCATTTCAAGATCCTGGTTCTGGTCTATAGGGCCTTACATGGACAAGCACCATCTTACATTGGTGATCTTCTTAGTCCCTACACCCCCAGCAGGTCCCTGAGGTCCAGTGACCAAAGCCTACTGGTTGTGCAGCACCAGGCTAAAGGTCAAAGGTGACAGATCATTTGCTGCTGTGGCCCCCAGACTCTGGAACTCTCTCCCCCTGAGCCTGAGATCAGTGGACTCAGTGGTCTCCTTTAAAAAGCAGCTGAAGACTCACTTGTTCAAGCTGGCTTTTGTATGACCTTCTTCACCTCTCTCTTTATTCTGCTCTTCCCACCTATTCCACCTTCCTCAGGATCCACTGATTTCCCTCTTTCCTGTTCACTCTCTCTCTTTCTTAACATTTTTTTATCACAATTGTCTATTTTTGTTCATTTTAAATATATTTTTAAACATTTTCTAAATGCTTTTTTTATATTTTTACATTTTTTGTTTTTGTGAAGCGCCTCGTGATTTTTATCTTGAGAGGCGCTATAGAAATGATATTTTCTTCTTCAGTCACAGATTTTTAAAGAATTCAGTTTTTAAGATTAGGGTAAAAAATGATGAAGCTGTTAATTATGTTCTAATAATACTACTAAAAATCTGACCATGGAAGTCTTAATTAGTCATCACGAACTTTAGTTTATAGCATCGCATTGACTTTGTTATGCATTCATTTGTTAAATTTCCACTGACTTGTGAACAGTAAATGCCTTTCACAAAATATTACACCAGCAAAGCAACTACCATTCCTCAAGACTACAACAAAAGCTGGCCTTTATTTTATATATACATATTTTACTTGCAGAAATTAATGTGACATAACAGTAGGTTGATAGAAAATGGTACTTCTTTGTGATTAAACTAAATGAAGTGTTGCTGCTCTGAGAAGTTAGGCCAAACGGCGCTCTATCTAGTTCCGGGTTGTCAGCCAATAAGAATGAGCCACAACAGAGGAATTCGCCAACCGGCGAGCATCACACAGAGACACACAGATACACACGGAGAGTGTTGTAACTGCTTTAAGCGACACTACAACAGCTGACACAAGTCTGAATAATTACAGCAAACTAATCAAATGCTCTAAAACGTAGTGATTACTATTGCAGTCAGATATCAGACAGCGCTCAATGCTAACTGACTGCGTTACAACTTCCCTAAAAAGTTACCGGTAACTTAATAATAAACCAATGCCCAATGTTCTAAATGAACTGTTTAAGGGTTGTGTCTGATGGCACTTAGACCTTCGTGGGTTACCTAACAGCTAACTATCAGCTACCATTAGCTTAATCTGAATGCAACGTTGGAGCCCAGAGCTGGAATTAAGAGTCTTACCAGCAGTACAAAAGTGCTGAAGCGGATGTGGAGAGAGGAAAATGCTACAAACAGTTTCATTTTATGGTTTAGTTATTGGAGGAGATGGTGTTCTTTCCAGTCAGTCTCGACGCCGCTCTTCTGTCCGTAGCAGGAAACAAACGGCGAGCCGATCTAGTGGTGACCACGGAAACTTGAGACTCACTTCCTGGTGTGAGCTCAGCTTTGTGGGTAATGTAGTTTTTTACGCGCTTGTAAAAATGACTCGCGCGGCGTGGAAAACTTCAATCATGGCGCGTTTGAGCCTTCTTCAGAACTGCTTTGGGAGTTGTAGTGTTTACGGCGAGGATCCAACGGGACGTGTAGAAGGAAAAACTTTGTGAAAAATGTTCGCCTGAGGGACAGAAAGGATTCCCAGGGTAAATATAACAACGGATAAACGACCGCTAACAGAACAGCTAACGGGCTTTTCAAATGACGTAACGACGTACTCCCAAAACGTATTATACGATCATAAAAACCTTATTTCTTTGAATCCAGGAGAGTTGCATCATTAGTTAAACTTTGGTAATTCAGTGAACATTTTACCAAATCAGTGTTACGAGGTTGATTATTTTTACTAAAGCAAAGGTCGTTGGATCAAATACATGAAGACCAAACCGTTTTAGTGCTAAAATTCCCAACTTTAAAGAGTTTAGCCGTTTTTTATCCAATCTCCAAATTCCTCTTATCTTTCTACACTTTGAAAATTTGTAATTAATTCTCATTTAAACAGCTGATTAAATACAGAACCCGAGATGAAAACTCAGCTAAAAAAAATGCTATAGAAGTTTAGATTAAAATCAAAATAAAATCTCTTATCAGGTTTCTGGGTCTAGTCAGCCTCAGTGTTTGTGTTTTACTGGCAGCTATTTGTGGTAACAGGTGGGTTGGTCTCAGTATGGAGGTGAGATTCTTTCTCTTTCCCGGCAGGAATCAGGATCAAGCCAGGTAGGGGATCTGGACACGCTCACACACCCACTGAGGATGCACTGAACGGTGGAAATCAGGGTCCCCCTTAATGCAGCTATGGTAAGAATCAGAAAACACTGATGTATAAATCCCACTAGTGTCACCTTGTGCTTGTTACATGCACCTGTAGGGCACCTGGTTTGTAATCATTTCTCAGGAGTCAAGACCATGGAGACTGTGTGTAGCAGCTAATTGTGTGTGCTGAAACTACCTAATTGTTAAGAAGATTAGGCAGAAATGTTGAATTGAATCCCAGCATTAATATTTAATGGGCTAAAGCTGTCCATAGGGGGTTCACAGTGTGTAAGCTGCTCACAGATGGAGCGAGGAGGACTTTGCTCTACCTGAATATCAACTGTAATTAAAAAGTACTTTTTTATAAATTGGGAGAACATTTAGTTAGGAGAGCTGGTGGTGGTTTATGTCAACAGAAAGTGTGTTTAGGTTTCCAACAAATAGGAGAAGGAAAACTAGTTTTATCTAAATGTGACCCAAAAAATTAGTTTTTAAAAATAATTAAAATAGTTCTATAGTTTTGTTGGGTCTCAATCGATGGTAAGCCATTCTTAAACGAAATTCTACTTAAAGAGCAAGTCACCCCCTACCAGAGTCTAACTCCACTCCCACTTCCTGTTTGAAAAATGCAACAAATGCTGTTGCCTAGCAGACCGAGAGGGTGGAGCCGCTTGGTGTGTATTTGTTAATACACACACACACACACAGGCTCACAACGACATTGTGACATCATATGGTACCAGCTAATGTTCTAGGGTGCCTCTTAGCCAATAGCGATGGCAGATTTAAATTCAAATGCAGTGCAGAGTTTTTACCTGACGACGGCACAACACTGACAGTTTTAGGCAGAACATTTTTATTTCCACTAAAATTCATTAAAGTGCAAAATTATTGACGACACGTGTCTGCAGCACGATTAGACACGCATTTATATAGTTTATCAGAAAAAACATGTTGATTTGGGGGTGACTTGCTCTTTAAATGTATTTGTTAAAATTGACTTGGAACAAATTGGTTCCGTTTAACTGGTAAAATTCACTAACTTAAATTTTAACGAAAGAAGAATTAGGTTGGAAGTGGAAAGAAAAGCTAGTATTTCACTAATTTAATATTTAGAAGTTAACCTCCAAAACCCCTTTTAAAGAAATAAAACTACTTATAGTTTTAATGTTTTTAAAACTTGATGAATTCACATTAAAAGGGCCCATATCATGCTATTTTTAACCTTTGAGGGCAAAGGTAGGCATGAAATATGATAAAATATTACAGTTGGCACTGTTGAGATGTCACTTTATCTTAATACGAGTTATTTTTTTTGTCAGCCTGAATTTCTACCTGGAAATGAAACGGTTCAATTCAACGAAGCTCCGCCCACGCCCGCTCTGACAAAAGGGTCTACAACAGAGTCGTAGGCCAGTCAGGTGTTCTTGGTAGTCCAGCAGGTTAAGCCCCTCCCCCGGCCTGACTCTAACCACTGGACTACCGAGTCTGTTACTAAACAGTTGTTGCCTGACACACACGTCCTGTGCAAGCGTTGCATGCTTTGTCCCGTCTGCAGGGCTGAAATGAAACCAGGAACAGTGAAGCTGAGGCAGGAAAATGCATGAATGCAGCCAAAATAGTGTTTAGGGATATTTCTCATGAGACAATAACAATGTCACATGATAAAAAGATCCAGACAGTGGATTTTCCATGACATCTATTTTGTTTTTTAGTTGGTCCAAAATTCCTTAAACTATGTTAAGTGCTAATTTTACAGCACTTGCATCTTTAGAAATGTTGCAAATTTAACCTAAAAAACTCGTATTCTTGAATAAAAATCGTTTTAATTTTCTACACTGAGTGTGACAAGTGAGGTAATAACTGTGAATTTGGTTTTATGTGTGAAATCTTTCCGTATTTTCAGGATTATAAAACAACCTGAATGACACACACTGCCCTGGCTGCCGGGCGCCACACAGAGCACGAATGGCTGGCTGGGATGACGCACACTGCACTGATTTGTGTTTAACTGATTGAGTTTTTTTAAGTTTATTATTTTAAGGCAAGCCGTTCAACTAAGAAATGAAACCTACAAAAATCTGAAGCAGGAAAAAGACAAATTCTTCACCCAATGTGCAAATAAACCCTTTTGTTTTTACAAATGGACTTTCTGTAATGACTAATCTACTGATCCTTACTGTACTGAACTGGATTATAATTGGAGTGAATTATGATACCGCTGTGGGGTAATGAGGACCCACCTGCAGCGCTTCAACAGATTTAATCCGTCCATCTTCTCTGTTCTTTCTGTTTTCTCCATCTTTTTCCATTTTGCATCGCTCCCATTGATTTTTGTTTGTTTTCCTCGCTGATTATGTCCCTGCACTCTGATTCGCCACTGGGCAGATTGCTCTCTGCTCTTTAATTGGCCATTTAATTAGATCACAGTTTTAGTCCAATTAGACTCAGAGGTGCAGAAGGAAAGAGGATGGAGAGAGCACGAGGAAAAAGTCCCCGAGCTGCTCTTTCTGTTTCCCTCCCCCATTTTACTGCCTCCTCTCTTCAATCTTTCTTCATTTCCATTTTTCTGCCTGCCTTGCTGTCTCCCCCCCTGCCTTCCCTGGCCTCCCTCCCTCCCTCCTGGAGGCGGCTCATTAGTGATATAATGTGATGACACAAAACACACAGCTCTTTTACTTTAGGAGTGTCTGGAGCAGAGGCTGAACCAAGCAGGAAAGGTGAGAGCAACTCTTTCTGCTCGTTGATGAAGAAGTTCTGTCTGTAGAAAGTCATCCGTGCCTGCTCCGCTTAGGCCACGAGGAAGTCTGCGAGTCAAGCACTCTGCAAGCACTAATGAATCCTCAGCAGAGCACAGCTGACTCAGAGGAGTGCTCCAGTATGATGTCCAAACATTTAAGCAGACCAACCAGTCAAATACGGAGTTTTAGCTCTTTAAAGAGCAAGTCACCCCCAAATCAACTTTTCCCCGATAAACTATATAAATGTGTGTCTAATCGTGCTGCAGACACGTGTCGTCAATAGTTTTGCACTTTAGTGCATCTTAGTTAAAATGTTAATATTCTGCCTAAAACTGTCAGTGTTGTGCCGTTGTCAGGTAAAAACTCTGCATTGTACTTAAATTTAAATCTGCCATCGCTATTGGCTAAGAGGTATGCTATGATGTAAACTGGTACATTATGATGTCACAATGTTGTTGTGAGCCTGTGTGTGTGTGTATTTGTTAGCAGCTCCGCCCTCTCGGTCTGCCCGGCAACAGCATTTGTTGCGTTTTTCAAACATGAAGTGGGAGTGGAAGTAAGAATCTGATAGGGGGTGACTTGCTCTTTAAGTAGCGCCTGTTCCTGTTGCTGCCAGAGACTACGAAGCTCTGGCAGCAACAACACAACGTCCCAGCAGACTACAGCGTAAAGACAAATATTAACACACACACACACACACACACACACACACACACACACACACACACACACACACACACACACACACACACACACACACACACACACACACATAGTAAATGCTGTCATCTGAAGACATCCTGCTAACATAAATGTTTTGTGTGTGTGTGTGTGTGTGTGTGTGTGTGTGTGTGTTTTGCCCACAAGCGTTACTAAGTGACCCCCATGGCTGTGAGATTGACAGCTCTGGTCCCGCCTAATTGCATTACTCTCCCAGGTGATTGGCTCGTGCCCTGGGGGCTCATTTGTCAGGATGCATTGTGGTAATGATGTAAATTAGCAGATCTATATGTCACTCAGCCCTCTCCCCTCATGCTGATTGGCCCCGCTGTGCCCCCCCGGCTCCCCCCCCAGCTGAGGGGGCTCGTTCATTGGTCTTTAGGGAACCGGGGAGTCCCCCAGAAATAGGGCCTTGCAGAATTGGCATCCCCGAGGACTGATATTATCCTTCTTCCTCCCTCTTTGCCTGTCAGTCAAAACCCAGGGTTCAGATCCTGCAGGTCCTATCTTTAATCTGAGGTTTTTAGACCCACAGAGGGGCATGCAGGTTGTATAGACACCTACAATAGCCCCATGTTGACCAAGAGCCCAAGCACACTCTCTTATAACTCATAACGTATAAGAGTATATTTTTGTCAACAACCTGGTGTGTGTTTGTACTCTCAGAGCTGAAAGGCCAACAGATTCAGACTCCGTTCCCCCCAGCTTACCCAGCATGCTGCAGCTGTGGCGTCTGTCAAAAGCAGACACCTTCACAGTGTCAGGCAGCTAGAGATCCCGTCAGTGCACACACACCGACACACAGCTTTCTGTACCTGCATGTCTCAGTAGCGTGCATTGAAGTGTTGGTTTCTGTTGCGTGCACACACACACACACACACTCGTGTGTCTTCCAGGCGGTGTGTATCTGTGCTGCACACCTGTAGTGTTGCTGAAAGGTTTCATAAGAGTGTCTTGATGCTTTGTTAAAGTACCTGAGTTTACACGAGGCCGAATATGAATAAAGACTAAATAATGTCAGCATCAGCGTGAGTCGATTCTCATACAGATGCACAATCACTTGGCCTGGACCTCGACCACTGATCAATGCTTTACTCTGAGTTATTGTCTTCTTTTTAACAAGTGGAGAGCTCCCTGAGGAACACCCATGAATAGCTAAATGAGACCGCTCCGACCCTCTCACCGGGAACTTGTGTTGTTTTCACGTCCTCCTTTGTTTACTTCCAGACTCTGCATCGCTGAAGCCTTTTTAGCCAAATCTGAGTGCGCCGTGGGTGTTTCCAGAACACCCATGAAACCATGACAGCCCGCGCATGGCAGCTACGAACGCCCCATCGACTCGCGCTTCTCGTGTCGGGGTTTGGCCAAATTATGACTTTTTTTCTGCATTTAAGATTATTCACAATCGATCGGTGTTATTGTTGTAGCTGCTGGAGGCTTTCAGGTTGACTTGAAAATGTTTGAAAAGAATAAAATCAACAAAACTAAACTTCAGAATGAATGCATGACGCGTTGTCTTAGTTTTACTTAGTAAAATACTGATGATAACTTTTTGATTTCCTTGACGTTGGACGTGTTACTGCTAGTTTACCCATTTAGTTATAGATCCACTAGGATAAATACAATAAAGTTGATCTCACCTGTGTGTGTGTGTGTGTGTGTGTGTGTGTGTGTGTGTGTGTGTGTGTGTGCACGCGCGTGTGCGTGTGCATGTGCGTGCGTGTGTGTGTGTGTGTGTGTGTGTTGGATGGCTGCTTATACTGAGCCAGGATTCTCTGGAGGTTTCTTCCTGTTAAAAGGGAGTTTTCCTCTCCACTGTCGCTGCATGCTTGCTTAGTATGAGGATTGCTGTAAAGACTCTGACACTCGTCAGTGACTCGATGCAATTTGCTGGGTTCCTTATATAGGAAACATTATTTCTGATTGGCTTAATGAACTGACCTGAATTGGAATGATTATTATGTGAAGTGCCTTGAGACGACTCTTGTTGTGATTTGGCGCTTTATAAATAAACTTGAATTGAATTGAAAATGTTCTTTACTTCAGAAATGAACATTTTTACCCGTTTAGTTTTAGTGCGTGTGCCGTTCCTGCACGTGTTTGGTATTATCTGCAGACTGCATGCGTTCCCGTTTGCACGACTGCCTTCGCAATCATCGTTAATTAGAAATGTTTAGAAGAAGTTTGTGGTTAATTTTGGTAACGGGCCTGTAAAAACTCTCCCTCTCACGGAAGGAATCACTTCCCATGACATGGCACATGTGCCAAGCACACACACGCACACACACACACACACACACACACACACACACACACACACACCTTAAAGGGCCGCATCTTCCATTTCTCTCTCCCACCCTATTTTATATGCACACGGGTTTTGCTTGCAGGAACTGTAGCAACTGCTCCGTTTTACGTCTCCGCCACTGCTTGGCAAAGCGTGAGAAAGCAGCGAGCATGATGGGTAATTGCAGCGCTGCACGCAGCGTCGACAGCGGTGCTCTTTATGAGGTGATTGAGGGAAGGGAGAGAGGACACCGAAGTGTTCCCCCGTTTTCCCTCAGAGGTTTCACTAAGTTCACCAGTGTGGGATAAATATTCTGCTGCTTTTTCCTAAACATCCTGATTTAGTTGTTTCTGCAGAACAGCTGACGCGTTTAAGCCGGTGACGAAAATGTCTGCCAGAGTTCTCAGATTGTTCCAC